AAAGAAAGAAAGAAAGTAAGAAAGAAAGAAAAAAAGGAAGAAAGGGGAGAGAGGTGATAAGAAAAGAATGAATGAAGGGAGAGAAAAAAAGAAAGAAGAATGTATAGAATAATACATTAAGAAAGAAAGAAAAAGAAAGAAAGAAAAAAGAAAGAAAAAGAAAAAGAAAGAAAGAAAGAAAGTGGGGAGAGGTGATAAGAAAGAATGAATGAAGGGAGAGGAAAAGAAAGAAGAATGTACAGGATAATACATTAAGAAAGAAAGAAAGACAGACAGACAGACAGACAGAAAGAAAGAAAGAAAGAAATAAAGAAAGAAAGAAAGAAAGAAAGGAAGAAAGGGGAGAGAGATGATAAGAAAGAATGACTGAAGGGAGAGAAAAAGAAAGAAGAATGTATAGAATAATTCATTAAGAAAGAAAGAAAGATGACTATTATTTTTTAGAGAATTGTATTTCTGCTCTGACATTTTCATTCTGACCTTTGAGGTCAGATAAAGAAAAACAAAGGAAGTCAATTTTGATTGGCTCAACTAAGGTAGGAATGATAGAGAAGGGTTTTTCGAGGAGTCAAGTCTTATACGTTGAAGAATGTGGACATGTTCCTTTCGTGATTGCAACGGCTCCCAGTGGAGTGGCAATGAGCGACCCTACTGTCTAGTTAGAACATGTACACATTGACGTGTTGAATAAAACTAGATAAGTTTGAAATTCCCTTTGTTGATTTTTCTTTTTTTTTCTTTTTTTTTTCTTTTTTCTCTGAACGAAACAACTAGCGATCACAGGCTGTGAAAGAAGGAGGAAATGTCAATATGAGAGAATCGACGCCGTCGTACAAGACCAAGACCCCCACCAAAGGGCTATACAACATTGTATTAATTGGCGTAGTGACCAAGAGATCCCCAGAACGGGGGGCTATACAATACGAAGAGTCGAGTTCCAATTCCAGTCGGGTTCGTTACATTCACTTTCGCACAAATACACTTGAGAAAGGAATGATTCCATCTCTTCCCCAGGTATGGGTTAAATAGTAAGACTATCATTGGTAAAATCACTGTTACCCACAAAAAATGTTAATTCAATATTCACTCTTGAACTCCAAATATGTTTCGGTTTTAAACAACGCACATTGATGAACCGGAAAAAAAGCAAATCAATCAATGAAAAGTTGCAAAATGTTCGAAGTGGTGTAATGGTCAACACGCTTGTCTGGCGAGATTATATCACAAATGAGTAGTGAGTTCGATTCTTACTCTGGGCTCCATACTAGTGGCCTTGTGCCACATCTACGACTGTGAATGTTCAAAAGTATATGATTCTTTCACATTGGAACTAAATTCATAATTTCGAGTTCATATAAAAAACGCAAAATTACAAGGCTTTGGTTTGGTTTGGTTTGTTTTTACCGCAAATCAAATACAATGCGTTATTTAATGCTAACAATTTTTATTACTGGTAATATTTTTCTTCAAAAATGTATTGCTGGTAATATTTTTTCTACAAAACTCTATATCTGGTAATATTTTTCCTCCAAAAATGTATCGCTGGTAATATTTAAAAAAAAATGTATAGCTGGTAATATGTTTTTTTTTTCAAAAATGTATTGCTGATAATAATGTATTGCTGGTAATAATTTTGACAAAGTATTTCTGGTATTAAAACTATTTTTACATTTTCATAGTGTTTTGACTCCAGTTTCGGGGGTTAACTATTTACCCATAACTGGGTCCGAAACAGGTGCTACCACCCCGGGTCAAGATGGATATGGGAGCATCAGCAGTTAAGAGGTTGTTCTACGCTCCTCAAAACCTTCTGATCAGAGGCCTTGCCAGGACGCGGATGTAGTTTATCGTCATACCCAGAACGGATTACAGAGGGTCATTAAAAAAAAAACAAAAACAAAAAAACAACGCTTAATGATCATTTTGGTCAAGGACTAAAATTGTCAACTCTTCAATTTGACAAATCCGATTAATTCTTAGTGCGAAGCATTTTTTCTTACATGCATTTTGTACTGTTTAAAATTGCGGTCTGGAATAACACGCCGGCGGGAAATTTTCAACTTAGAAATAATCGTGCCGGGGTACTACGACATGGGGCAATTATTAGTAAGTTTTTCTCACTAGATCAATGACGACTGAATTAAAGAAAATGGATACAAAAAGGACGCTTACAAATAGAAAGAGACAATTGAAATTTTTCGGTCACATTATAAAGGAAGAGTATTTGGAAAATTTGACACTCATAAGTCAGATTGAAGACAATAGGAAAGCAACTATGAACCTACTTAACGAGGTTTTGTAAATGTTTGGCAGAACAGGCATTTGGAGAGATAGCAAAAAGTGAAAACATACTAAGAGCTACAAGGGATTGGAAATTGTGGAGCGTAATGTCCCCAACGTCCTGAAGGGACAAGGTACATAGAAGAAGAAGAAGAAGAAGAAGAAGAAGAAGAAGAGTTGAAGTAAAGTTCATGAATAAAGAATAGTTATCAAGCATCATGCTTTCAAATGCAAGTTAGAGGTTAAACCGCCCATCTGCGCTAGAAAAACTTTCAGAAGAACGATTTTCATTGAGTGATTGTATGATAATAGTCAATTAAAAATATATTTTTGATACTCCCCCCCCCAAAAAAAAATGTTGAGGTTAAGCTTATTAAATATCTGCAGTTTAAATTTATTTATCCACATTTTTCTGATTGTAAACCCAAATTTTAACCTTTAAACGGCGAGAAAGGTTGCACAGACATGCGAGACGAACGGGTAAAAAACAAGAAAGGATAGCTGATTTCATATTTTTGCTTTAAGTATATATCTTTTCTTTTTATGCGCCATATCGTTTCAGGACGTAGGGGATCATGGCCCTCCTCCTCCCCCTATCCTTTGTAGCTCTCAATAAGTTTCGACCCTCTGCCACCTCCCCCAGACCACATTCTGTCATCCACTTGCTTAAGCCCACCATGCGTTGCTTTTCCTTGTCTCTTTTCCCCTCTATTCGACCTGTGAGTATCAGATTCTCCTGGCACTCCTCTCTCGTTGTCCCAGAAACTTCATCTGCCTCTTCCTGATGTTAAGTATAAGTTTCCTCCTTGTTTGCATCCTCTCTAAAACCTTATTGTTGCTCACACGCTCGGTCCATTATGCCCTCATCATCCTTGTGTAGAACCACATCTCCGTGGTCTCGAGTCTCTTCTTCATCATTGAGGAGACCGTCCGACATTCACTGACGTACAGGAAGCCAGATGTCACATAGCAGCTCAGTACTCTTTTCCTTATCACCAAAGAAATCCAGCTTTTAGGATGAAACAAAATCATTAAAAATGCTATTTTAACTCTATTAGATTATCCAAATTTAATATTTTTTACTGTATTATAAACCTTGAAACATTCCATGCACAATGGAGTTGTGCATTCTTGGCACCAAAATGTCGCCATTTTTCGATATTTTTCTTCAAGAGGTATCCATGCAGATATAGCACTGTCTTTGTCGTCTTTCAGTTTTATTTGCAGATAGATACTCCAAAAAATTATGTAATCCCTTAAAATCTTAGTAAACAGTAACCTCATGAAACCTCAAGTTACTAATTAATCATTTAGACTCGAATCGTAAATGAATGATACCCGTATTCTTGGAAAAAACGTAAGTCTTAGTGGAGGCACGGTGGAGTAATGGATAGTGGCTTGGATTGAGGAAACGGAGAGCCGAGTTCGAATTCCAGTCGAATCCATTACATTCACTTACGTGCTTGGGAAAGGTGTGAATTCTCTTTCTTCTCCTCCAGCTATGGGTAAATAGCAGGACAGACTGGGTTCTATAGCCTTGGATGGCAACTGGTCTAAGAGAAGGAAAACTCTGAATTCAAACCTGCTCTTAGAGGAGAGTGAATGGAGTCTCTCTGAGCTTTGGTTGGCAATCCATTTAGTGATGGTGTCACGATAAAAACACCCTTGATAGCCCTAGCGAAGCATCAAGAATTCAGCTATTTGACAAGATTATGAACTACGCCAATCAAAGTATTGGTGAGTTCAATCTCCGTTGAGGCCGCAAGATGATGATGAATCTTGGAAAAAAAGTTGAAATTTTCAATTGATGTTTATTCGCTCATCTAACGTAACACATCAAGTGATGATTCAAATCGGTTATGGGTAAATTCATAATTACGTTATCTTTCTTTTTAATTATGATCGCTTGTTGTGCTAAAATTGTGTAATTACATACGTGAATTTATTCTGACTAGCTAAGACAATAAATTGCTCCAATAAAGGAATTGCAATAATTACACAAATAATTGTCAATAACTGCGGAAATTCCATAGATCAATCCATGTTAAGATTATCAACAATTATCTTTGTCCTTATTTATTCAAAGAAAACGTAATTTTTAAAAAGTTTCCAACGTGAAAATTACAGAGTGGAGATGTCGAGTGCGACACGGATATCCGAAGATGCATTAGGATAGCCAAAAATGCCTTCCACAAGTTGAGCAATGTATTAAGAAACAGGAAAAACATCGTTAGAAACAAAGAAAAGACTACTGAACTGCTTTGCAGTATCAGTTTTCCTATATCATTGAATGCTAGAGAATCTCCTCACAGATGAAGGAGAGACTTGGGAGGACAGAAATGTTGCTCTACAGAAGGATGCTGAGAATACCCTAGGTGAAACATGTGAGCAGCGACGAAGTTCTTTGAGACAATGGAAATAAAATGGACACTTATTTTTAACACCAGGAAGAGACAGTTGGTGTTTCTGGACACATAATGAGGAAGGAGGGCTTAGAGAATCTAATACTCACTGGACAGATTGAAGGTAACAGAGACAAAGGAAAAGAACAAGCAACCTTCTTGGCGAGCCTAAGAGAATGGGTGGCAGTGCAGGGTATGGGAGCGTTACAAAGGACAAGAAGTGATGGAAAAGCCCTGATCACTAACATTCTAAAGGGTCACGGCATATACTAAGATACATTGAGATAACGTAAGATGCCTTCCAAAAGCTGAACAAAGTATTAAGAAATAGAAAAAATATCCTTAGAAACTAAGAAAAGAGTACTGAACTATTATATATTATCAGTTCTCCTATATGGCAGTGAATACTGGACAATCTGCTCACAGGTGAAGAAAAACTAATCATGACAAATGTTCTGCTGAGAATAGCATGGACCGAACATGGGAGCCACGACGAACTTTCAGAGACAATGGCAACAAAAGGACAAGTATGTTTAATATCAGGAAGAGACAGTTGAAATTTCTAGGGCACATAATGAGGAAAGAGGGATTGGATAATTTGATACTCACAAGATAGATAAAAGGCAAGAAGTCCAGAGGAAAACTACCAACCTGTCGAGTTAGAGCGAATGGATGGCAAAGCAAGGTTTGAGAGGGAGATATCCTAAAGACAAATTCTTTAGGAGCCGCAAGGGACAGGAAATTGTGGAATGGACACGGCAAATAGAAGAAGAAAAATATTTATTTAACCCATTATAATTTACTAAATAAATAAATGCAGCAATAGTTTTCTTTGCTTTAATCTGTGTGACAGATGTCAGTGTCGAGAGACCATGGATCTGCGCCCATAGTTAGTGATGGCACTGCAGCATCTGTTATGGATGTACAGGCCCACACGGGAGTGACAGTCACGATTGCAACGAAGACTTGTGAAGACATTCTTCCCCATTGTTGCCGTGTCTTCGTTCCTTCGAGGAACTTCTCCCCGGCGGCAGGCCCCCGTTTTTTTCTCTCTTCGCTCCAACCCGAGGTGTTAACCGCGTCTCCACGACATCTTCCTATCTTTCGAGGTCCGTGTCCATCGCCCACATTTTCCTTTTGTTGACGTCCTTGAAGCGAATATGATGTTGCTCTTGTTCCCTCTCGCAAGTGTTCAGTTCCATGGTCAGAAGGACCTTCGGAATCCTCCCATCAGTAGAGTGTTGCTTCCCATGTTTTGCCGTCGCGGTGAAGCGACGCTGGGTGCAGGTCTGGGCTGGGTTTTATAAGAGATCGGCAGTTGCAAAACTTCTCCCTCTCAACGCCACCGTGTTTATATCAAGAGTAGAGACCAATACAGCCGGATTGCGGCAAGGGTAATGTAGAGTCCAATACAGATTGGCATCGGCATCGTCACAGGATTTGCTAGAAAGAAGTTTCTTTTCTGTAATGATTTCTCATATAACGGAGGGAAGCACGGTGGAGTAATGGATTGAGAAATCGGAGATCCGAGTTCGAATTCCAGTCGAATCAGTTACATTCACTTACGTGCTAATACCCTTGGGAAAGGTATGAATCCTCCTCTTCGCCAAGTTAGGAGTAGGTAGCAGGACAGATTGCCTTGGATGACAACTGATCTACCGCAGAAAGAAATGGCAACTACGGGAAAAAATCTGCCTCGTCAGTCATGTATTGAAAGATACATGATCGCCTAAGCGTGTATCACGCATGACACATAACTGACTGACTGATATAACAGATAGAATTTCTTGAACAAACCTGTCCGAACTTGAATTCACTCCAACGGTCACGGAAAGGATTTATTAAAGAAGACATCGAGATTTTCTTTCACTTCAGTTATTACATATATAACATACTAGCATCATGGCCCGGCGTTGCCCGTGCTTGATTAAAAAATCGTACGACTCATACAGCAATCGCTATCACTTGACTTAAAATATTTTTGCCCTTCCTTGCCTTTAAAGGAGTGCCCTTTGCCGTGCTGATGTTGCTACATGCCTTACTTCTTGTATTTTTACTATATATATTTTTTTAATGTTTACATAGTGTTTTCGGGTTAACTATTAATCTATAGCTGGTACCCAAACAGGTGCTACTATCCCGGGTTCGGGTGAACCTGAGATCAACAGCAATTAAGAGGTGGCCCCACGCTCCTCAATACCACTTGATCAGATGCCTTGCTGCCAGATGTAGTTTATCGTCACACCCAGGGGCGGATTCCAGAAATTAAGCCAAATATTAAGAAACAAAAATTTCGTTGGAAAAAAGAAGAGAAAAGCGTACTGGACTGTTATGTAATATGAGCCCTCCTATATAGCATTTAATGCTGGACAGTCTCCTTGCAGATGAAGAAGAGTCTTGAGGCAGCAGAAATGTGATTCTACAATAGGATGCTGAGAATACCAGAGACTGAAATATTCAGGTTTGAAGAGTCAAAAAGTTCATGGCTGATAGAAGAAGCTTAAATTAAAAAAAAAAATAAAGTTCATATTCTATATTCACTAGAAAACGATACTGTTATGTAATATCATATACGTCAGTGAATCCTGGACAATCTTATCACAAATGAAAAAGAGACTTGAGGAAACAGAAATATGGTTCTCCAAAAGCATGCTGAGAATACCATGGAACAAAAATGTGAGCAACAACTATGCTTTAAATAAAATGGAAACAAAAAAAGGACACACATTTAGAATCAGAAAAAAAGACAGTTCTAATTTCAAGAAAACATAATGAGAAAAAAGGGTCTAGAAAATCTAACACTCACAGGGCATATTGA